CAAAAGTAACTTTTTAAGCTCACCATTTTACAAAATTTTCGCTGCGACGTTTCGTCTTTGAGAAACCATCATCAAATTAATATTTTTATATGGACCGGAAAAAAGTGTGGTACAATATGTCATTTAGAAGAACAAATTATTTTGACATTTTGTCAAGGCCTGCTAAACCAAAAATGTTAAAAATTTAGTAACAAGCCATTTTTCTGAGCTAAATAATAAATCATTTTTAACATTTTACTGTAGTAAAATGTTAAAAATTTAGTAACAAGCCATTTTTCTGAGCTAAATAATAAATAATTTTTAACATTTTACTGTAGTAGGCGTTGACAAAATATCAAAATAATTCATTGATGGTTCCTTTAAATGATATAGGTGATAAAGAATCTTATTGTGCCATACATCGTTGTTGATGGTTTCTCAAAGACGCCAATTGTAAAAAGAAATTTTTTCATGGCCAATTTTGCGCCTCCCCGTAGCTGCGCCCTTGGCGGGCGCCCATCTCGCCACCGCCTAGGTACGGAAATGGTGAGTTGCCCTAGGCCTCAATCTGCCAACTCCTAGGGTTGATCCAAGACGCTCGATCGATAGATGCCCCTAGTGCTCGCGGTTGGTGCTTATATAGGTAGCCGCCGCCAATCCCTAGTATAGTAGGCTCCGCTTAATGAGTAAGGGTAACAGTTCCCCCCCCCCCCCCCCGCTTCGAAGGATTCGGCGGCTGGTGGTTGGACGTGACTGGCTGCGCCGTGTTAGCTTCCTGTGCTGGCCGGATTCGTTGCGGTATGTTGTAGTGGCCGGATGTTCTTTTGTGGCGTGGTGCGAGATGGCGGTTCTTGGTCGGGTGTTCCTCGATCTGGCGGTGGCGGTTCCCGTGTTGCCTCTCTACGATTGGGTGCTGGTCGTAGGTCATGGATATAAACCTTCACCTGTTCTCTGTCTCGCTGGATGAAATATGAGTTTGTACCTGCGTTGGCGATTACTCTATATGGCCCCTTCCATTTTCGCTGAAATTCTCCCGTTGCGAGGTCTCGCGATCTCTCCATTACTTCGTCCCCTGCTTGGAACGGCACCCTGGTTGGTCCGAAGATCGCGTACCTGGATCGGTAGCGGTGCTGGTTGCGGTGGACTGTCCGGATCCCTTCCTTGCGTTCTTCACCTTGGCCGATGCGCCATATGTTCAAGTTGTCTTACCTTCACCCCTGCAAATCCATATTCATTTCAAATTACATCCTTACCTTTCCATGTCTGTACATATTAGAAGTTTTAGTTTTTGTTAAGACCAATTTAGATATTTTCAGGGATATTTTCAATCGTCTGAACTTTAATCATCAATGCAACACACGGTATGGTCATAATCTGCAATATAAAACACATAATCTGGAAAAGTATAAAAAAATCCTGTGTATATTGGAGCTGTGCTGTATAATAAACTTAGTTTACAATTAAAAAGTATAGATAAGATATATACATTTAAAGCTGAATTAAAGAAAATATTATTAAGTCACGCATATTACTCTGTAAATGAATATTTAAGTAACTGAATGTAAATACGCTAGACTGTAGGACTTGTCTTATATCATAATATGATCGTTTAGACAAAAAACATATTATTATATTATATTATATTATATATATTATATTATATTATAATACTTATATTATTATATTAATATTATAATACTTTCTTAATTAACCTGGTTCCGCCTCTCCACTGGGTTGGCTTGGGGGTGGAAGATAGGTGTCGTCCAATGGTAGCACCCCCAGTGTCGGAGTGCGGCATCCCAGGTGACGGAGATGAATTGTGGGCCATTGTCGGAAACTATCGCCCTTGGGAACCCGTATCGCCCGAATACTTCATTCTCCAGCCGATTGACTACAGAGAGGGAAAGCTTCTACCCACATGCTGTATAGGTCCGTCACTACCAGTATGAACCGATTTCCCAGATGTGAGGTGGTATATGGTCCCATTAGGTCGACGTAAATCACCTCCCACGGACGACTGGGTTGGCGTGGTCGGACAGTGGCTTCCTGAATGGATCCTCGCTTTGCGACGGTGCATACCCAACAGTTCCGCACGTAGTTTCTTCTTCCATTTTCGGCCAGTGGTAGTGGGCGTTTATGGCACGTTCTGTTTCTTCCGCTCCTGGGTGGCCTGCTGTTGATGAATCGTGGTACGCGTGCGGGACTGCTTCTTTCATGTCGAGGGGTACTACCTGAAGATCTCCGTGGTTGGATTTGCGGTAGAGATATCCGTCGTGGGAAGTGTAGTTCTGGAAGAAACGGTTTTGGGCGGGGTCCGCGGGCCTGTTGTCCTGGATTAGGTTCCACGTAGTTATCAAATTGCCAGCGTGTGGATTGTTTCTCTGGCTTTGCTTCACGCGGTCGGCAAGCTCTGCCACTTCGATGTTGGCGAGGAATGGTGGTCCTGTGTCGTCCCTGTCTGCTGGTGCGGTAGGCGGGGGTAGGAGGCGACTGATGTCTTCTTCGGTATTTTCTTCCACGACTCGGTCTGTGGGGTTCCTCGACAGATAGTCGGGGAGTTAGTTTTCCTTGCCGGGGCAATGTATCACGTCGAAGGAGAATTCTTGAAGTCTCAGGGCTCATCTGGTAAGTTTACTCTTGTCGTCCTTCGTTCGGTCTAACCAAAGGAGCGCTCAACTGTCCGTTTTGAGTGAGAACTTTCTGTCCTCCAGGTATGGGTGGTATCGCTTGACCGCCCAAACGACCGCCAGGCACTGTTGTTCATTCACATGATACTTGCTCTGTGCTCCGTTTAGTTTTGCGCTCGCGTAACTTATGATGTTGCGCTGGTTGGGGTGGGGCTCCTGGTAGAGTACGGCTGCGATGCCTTTGCTACTGGCGTCAGTTTGTAAGATGAACTGCAGCTTGAAGTCCGGACGGCACAGCTTAAGGGGTTGGCTGATGGCGTCTTTCAGTTGAGCGAATGCTTGGGCGGCTGCTTCGGTCCATCGGTACGGCATGTTCTTCCGCAATAGGTCGTCGAGGAGGCCTTGCATTTCTGCGCATCGCGGGACATAGTCTCTCGGATCCCATTAGTCAGTCCCTGGAAACTACGCAGCTGCTTCTTTGTTTTAGGCGCTTCGGCGGTGCGGATGACCTCGACGTGCTCTCGTAGCGGTTTGTTGCCGTCTGCTTCAATGGTGTGACCAAGGTATTGAATGGATTGTACCCCAAAGCGGCATTTCTCTACCGATAGTCGTAGCCTGTGGTGCTGCAATCTCTCTAGCACTAGATGGAGGTGGTGGAGATGCGAGTACACAATGATGTCGTCTAGGTAGACCATTGCGAATTTGTGTACATATCTTGTGTCATCAGCTTTTGAAATGTTGCTGGCGCATTCTTCAGACCGAAGGGCATCATTCTGAATTGATAGGTGGCTCCGTCAGGTGTCGTGAAGGCGGTTAAATGTTTGGACGCATCATCCAGTGGTACTTGCCAGTATCCCGAAGTCGGAAATTAACTAAATTCCGAGTTTAAAGTTGGAATTTAGTTAAATTAGCTTAAATAGCTCCAATCATTTACAGGCTCCTTTGGAATATATCCACATCTTAAGTTTGAATTCTGCAATGCGGGCTGCCCGTCCAATCATCATTAATTATTTCAAAAATTAAATCAATATTATTCAAACGAGTTTTTTAATTTTTGCAAAACAAATACGTCGTCGGTTTGCTTATTGCTGAATGTTTACGGCAATTTACAATTTTGCGGTGAGGATAACGTAAATGTCTGTCAAACAAGCGCGAATAAACAAAATTGCGCGCCGATACGATAGACAACAAGTTAAAAAGTAATCGTAAACGATTTACATAAAGCGCATTTCCACTTGCATTCATTTCCTATTTGCAAGATGCAACTTTTGTTAAAATTGTAAAAATCCGGCCACAAATATGAAAGATAGCTTGCACATGTGCAATCCATTTTTGACGTGATACTTCAATTTCAGTTTATAAGAAGAGTTTCTTTTCAATCTTTTTCTAAATAAAAAAGTTGGAACTGCGCATGCGCAAACCTAAATTTTGAAGCTAACGTTAGATTTTCCTTTGTTCCAAGTGGCTATGTATCAAATTTCATCTAAATCCCTCCATAAATAAGAAAGTTGGCACTGCGCATGCGCAAAACCAAATTTTGAAATTGGCGTTAAATTTGCTTTTATTCCAAGTGGCTATGTATCAAATTTCATTTAAATGCTTTTATAATTAAAAAAGTTTGCAATTCGGTTTATAAATGGTCGAGATGCGAAAAGGGCACTGTGAATTTTAAATATATTCGACTCAAATTTTGGCATTGCGTATTATATGGCTAAGGCTATGCCCATATTGAATTTCATGCAATTCAGTTCATAACTAACGGAGATGTAAAAGCGATCGGACATTTCTAAACAAAGTTATCGTTCACACGGACAGATAGAAGGACAGACAAACAAAGGAACAGACGGGCAGACCAACAGGCAGACGACAGACAGCAATGCAAAATTATAAACGATCTCTAGGAGCGCTAATAAACGGCAAAAGTGTAAAATTATGAAACAAGTAAAAAACAGTTTTTTGTTTTTTTTACAATAATTTTTTTGTAAGCGGTACAGAAAAAATTCCTTCCTTGGTGCAAGACTCGACACCATAACGAACCAAATAGCGAAAAAAGTAGAACAATACCTCTTAAGATAAAGAACTAGTAGCGTCGCAAAACAAGCGGACGGACGGACGGACGGACGGACAAAGTGGCCACAATAGCGCATTTTTTTTTATTTTTGTGGAAATGCGCTAAAAATATGTGTAAAAGTAAGAAACGTTATCGTTTATTCAACCGTATCATTTTTACCTTCAAAGTGTCCTTATATTATGTAAATTTATAAACCAACAAAGTTGAAATTTACTCATTATGTAAATTTGTTAACCAATTACGTAAAGATGTTAATGATAATTAATTATCGTTAAGTTAGGTATATACTGTTTAACGAGTGAGGTAAGTTAGATAGGCGAGAAATGCTGTTTGAATACGTATCCGTGGTGATATTTGTGAGCGGTCTGTTAAATTCGAAAGTGAGCGGTGAACCATTGGGTTACTTGCAATACGTTCTGGATATTCTGGCTGATGTGGTTCTGAATGAGACAAATGGAATTGGTATTAACTGTAGACGTCATCTGGACTACTATCAAACAGGATTGGAGACAAATCGATTTTGGGCCCTTCAAAGTAAGTGCGATCACTGGTTACACGCGTGGGAACAATTCAAATTTTAGTGTTCGACGCCACAAGCAAGCTACCATCGGGAATTGGAACAGGAAATACAGCCGACTTGGGTTCGTTTGAGGAGTGCATCGAAGTAAATCAACGGATAGATTCCTCAGATTCTTTCCGAGGACGATACTGTTTTGGGGAGACGAGTATGAATTTAAAGGAGGTGGGTTTAGAAAAGAATGCACATGTTGCTTGTGAATTTCAATATCGGCGTCTTGAAACTTCGCAGTCTCTTTGAATTACTGTGAAGTTGCTTCGATATTGAGATTAATTGAAGCACATTGGTGGGATTAGACCGCCATTTTGCTTATTTACAGTAGCTAAAAGTAATCATTATTGTAGTCTTTACGGCTGTAAAAGTAAATACACTTGCAAAAATTTCATTTCACCCAAACCAATAAGTAGTATTCTTTGCCCAAACATAGTTCTCCAAAACTACGCCCGTCGAACATTCGAATTTAGAGCTCTACCAGAATCCGGTTCAGCAAATATGCACAATAAGTAATCTAAAGTATCACTCCACAAATAAAAGTTCGGAACTCAGGTAGTAAATGAATGAGAAAATCTATAACCGAAAGAGAGTTGCCTAACTCCAAAGTATGCTAAGGCAGTCAAATAACGGGTTGAGTGCCAAACCGCAAAGGCGTTAGAGGGTTAGTAGTGCAGCAGAGAGAGCCGCGAAATCGTTCAAAAAATTTTTTCGGAGTAGAAAGAATTGGGACCCACACCATGTTGTTCAGAAATGTTTGAACCTTCAGAATCCCGCTTTACGACATTTTCCCGTGGTCTTGACAAAAGTTATAGGCCGCTAAAGTTGAAATTTACTCATTTTCGCGCGCGCGACTAGACCACCGAAAGTATTTATTTTCTCAGCAACTAAGCGATATACATCAATCATTCCTTTTGTAAAATGAAAGTACATTTATAGCAGAATCTAAAGCATTCAATTTACCTACCTTGTTATGCACAGTTTTTAGAAAAATGACCGTCAACTTCCAAAATTCGTGTAGCAGATGAAAAGTGTGCACTTTGAACTCTCATAACTTTTTATTTCACGATATCGATTTCCAATATTTATAGCTCATTCGATGCTCCAAAGCATTGTGATTATTTTATTTTCTATAACATGACCGTGAATTTTTCATAATAAAAAAGTTACGGTCATTTAAGTAAAAACCTACCGACCTCGCCGAGTCGGTAATCGCGAGTGAGACGGAGAGGGAAGGATAGTCAGCAGCGTTCGCTAAACAAGGAGCGATGCGTAAGAGATTTTACTTTACTAAGAAATTTCTCTCCGAATACCAAAACTAGCTATTTAGGCCGTTTAGTTTACAAATGCATTCCGCCAAGTTGCATTGTAAAATCTCAAACAATTCATTAACTTCATGTATCTCAGTTCTTTGGTGAAATATATAGGTACAATAGGTACCTTTCCCTGTAAATTTTGGGGGTTACTCCACATCAGGTATCTCTTGTGCTGTGCTGTATATTGCAAGATCAGCAGTAACAACGGTATGATTTTGTCCCAAAGATTCAGGCTTGTTTTTTGATTTCACTAGACGATGGTTAGGATGGTATTGTAGCTCGCTGGTGGAGAATTCAAAAACGGCATAGGTATATTATATTGAATGGTAGATACCGGAACTTACTTAGGAGGATTATCAGCAGGTACTTAGGCTGTTAAAGTCAGTTATCTGGTCGTTATCTAGTGATAGGTAAACCTGGTGGTCAATCATTTCTAGACATGCCGTCTGCATGATCTCGAATTTAAACTTAACTTAAATAATTTAAATATGTAGTCATCTCAATAGTTTCAAAACTTTTATAAGTTTATTTTTTCCCCCCGGTTCTTTTGAAATGTGTTAAATTCAACTTTCAACTTTTAATGTAATAATTCAACCCTCCGGTTGGTTGTCTTAACAAGGCTTGATAATAATTCGTTTTGAAACTTAGGACAACCTTTCCGTTTTAACCACCCTTCAGGTTTTTTCACTTGGCTTCGGCCAGTTAATAATTAAAAAACAACATGTTCGTCTTATTCGTCTTCAACGTTTGTAACTTACCGTTTTCCTGTTAAATTTTCACATCGCCTGATGATGGCAGTACGCCCGAAACTATAGTCGTAGTAAAATCCCTTACGCATCGCTCCTTGTTTAGCGAACGCTGCTGACTATCCTTCCCTCTCCGTCTCACTCGCGATTACCGACTCGGCGAGGTCGGTAGGTTTTTACTTAAATGACCGTAACTTTTTTATTATGAAAAATTCACGGTAATGTTATAGAAAATAAAATAATCACAATGCTTTGGAGCATCGAATGAGCTATAAATATTGGAAATCGATATCGTGAAATAAAAAGTTATGAGAGTTCAAAGTGCGCACTTTTCATCTGCTACACGAATTTTGGAAGTTGACGGTCATTTTTCTAAAAACTGTGCATAACAAGGTAGGTAAATTGAATGCTTTAGATTCTGATATAAATGTACTTTCATTTTACAAAAGGAATTATTGATGTATATCGCTTAGTTGCTGAGAAAATAAATACTTTCGGTGGTCTAGTCGCGCGCGCGAAAATGAGTAAATTTCAACTTTAGCGGCCTATAACTTTTGTCAGAACCACGGGAAAATGTCGTAAAGCGAGATTCTGAAGGTTCAAACATTTCTGAACAAAGTGGTGTGGGTCCCAATTCTTTCTACTCCGAAAAAAAAAACTATCTCAAATAAGCGAGTTAGCGCCGGCTCTCCGCTGCACTATAGGGCTAACCACTCTCATAATAGTATATAATAGTATAATTTAGCTATTGGTGTTTTTTGTACTCAAATTATAATTGTTTCCCACGCACTGTAATTATCACTTTTAATTGCGCGGTAGTTCACCGTCATTGTTAACTTGGTACTTGGTGGTAAGTACTTTTGAGTGATTCAGTAAGTCTCACTTTATGAGCTTGGCTCTCAACAAAATGGCCCCGCTTCTAAACAAGTCTGCACCAGTACAATCAACATGCGATCTCAATGCATCGAGCGCTCAAAACCGTTTCCCGCATTCACTTCCATTCCACTGATCACCTCTGCAACGTGCGTCCTTTAACTTACTACAATCTCATGATAGAAACAACGTTACAAATACAATACATTCTGCAGAGGCACCTCTAAATAGCATTATGCGGGTCACCACACCACACCACATTATCACAACCCACTCGTATTCAACCCAAACGCAAAAACCTAAACAGCACCACTAGCTCACAAAATACTGTAATATCTCCACCAAAAACCCAAGCAACCACACAAATACAACCTCAAGAACAAAGAAACACCATAAATACAAGTAAGGCAACATGTACCACAAAGACAGGTCCACTGAATAAAGTTACACGTCCTAGCACAGTTAAAAAACACAAAACTCCTTCTTCACATAAACACACCACGTTATCACAACCCACTCGTATACAACCCAAACGCAAAGCCAAAGAAACACTTACACAATAAACTCTATTTAATAAAAGTACAGAAATTATTATAATGATATTTTTGTTTTGTTTTCTTCTTTCCTGATAGCGTTGACTATTGTGGCCATTAATAGCTATGTTGGTAAGTATGAATTACATACTATCCCTAGATTTCCAATGTGAGTGTGCGAATATTTATTTTATTTTTTAATTTTTATTTTTCTTTAGAACCCTACATAACTTCACTAGACACAGACACAGACACTAATCGTTACTTGATTTTAATCCGTGCGATTAGTTAACCAGGCTAGACCTGAGTTCTCACAAGAAACACCGACAATAATAATAATGTGGTCTTTCCTTTAGTAGAACAACTTAAGTACTTTGTTACAGATAAATGCGACAATAACACTGAAACTGGCAAGTTGCTTACCAGACAGCTGTTCCACTGGCGATGCGTCTACAATATACAAGTATTTCGGACTCAATTTTTCGTTCCCAGAAAATTTGTGCCAAGCACTCGTTGATCGAGAAAAGCTGCGGTTTGGGTTATCGGAATATTGTGGAGTGTAAGTGTTTTGAAACTTTAATCTCATTCAGCGTCCATTTCCAGGGTATTTTTCGGAATATTCGCGCTGATGATTGCTGCTTCCACAACTTACGACATCTACTTGTACGCAACTGAATCTCGTAAGCTGCAACGGTATGCGCCACCTGGTTAACATGAAATTCTCACTTGCAGAAATCAAGCATCAGGCACTTGTCGCGTTTTCCATTCTTAAAAATGGCAAAAAACTGATCGCCATCGAAAACAATGCCAAACAAATAACTTGCATGAACGGAATTCGAGTTATCAGCACTATGTGGATCATCCTAAACCACAGATATTTCATACAATTATCCTACTTTCCTCTGTGGAATAACTTCTACAAGGAAACCGTAAGAGTATTGGAGTTGACGCCGTTTTCTGTAATTTCTTTAATTTCAGTGGACGCTCAGTGCAGGAAATATGTTTGTGATAAATGCACCAATGGCAGTTGACACCTTCTTTGTACTATCAGGAAGTCTTGTAAGCTACGTTTACCTCTGCTCCGCCGAGAAAAGCACCTCGTTTCATATTTTCAAGTTCTACCTCCACCGGTTTTTGAGGTGCTTACGTAATGCTAATAAAAACTGCTTACGACATGCAGTTTTTCAGATTAACTCCCGTTTTAGTCGCCGTAATCGTTTTCATAGTCACATTGCTCAGACAATTCGCAACGGTCCCTCTCTGGTCGAGCATGATTCACTCAAAACTGATTGAGGGTTGCGAAAAGTATTGGTGGAAGACGCTGTTGTATATTCAAAATTATGATCGAACGCCTTCAATGGTACGCACCTTTAGTGTTTTTATTAACTGCTACAATAATGAATTCAGTGTCTCCCTCACGGTTGGTACTTGAGCAGCGATATGCAGTTGTATGTAGTTTCTCCAATCTTTCTGCTTGCGTTATCCAGATGGCCAAAACGTACCATTTATGGAATCGTCGCGCTCATTGTTTGTAATATAGTTGGATGCTTTTTGCTAGGTTGGTTTTTTGAGATTAGTGGTATATCGCAGGGAAATGTAAGGTAAGTAGGGTTTGATTCGTTACATTGAGACCATGTTGGATCTCTAGCTTTGAAAGGCTGATGTTATTCGTCTGGATGTATTATTTTCCCGCCTATACAAGAGCAGCACCATGGTTGATAGGAATTATACTGGGCTACCACCTATACTTGTCCAAAAAGAAGAAGTATGAGCTGTCTACGGTATGTGATTCAATTCATTCATGCTAAACGATGGGACAGATGAGTTTTAGAAAATTGTGGCAAGTTTGTGGATTCTCAGCTTGATGGTCATGTGCGCAATTGTATTTGGGGGGCACGATCTGATTACTTCAGAATATCGTAGGGTGTTAAACGCAATTTACATAGCTTTGGTCCGCCCGGCCTGGGCCTTAGCTGTAGCCGCCGTGATTTTTACATGTGCCAATGGTTACGCAGGTAATGCTGAAGATGTTGTAACCACAAACCCAGTAGACCACCATTTCAGGTCCAGTAAATTGGTTCCTTTCGTTGCCCATATTTGAAGTGCTATCGCGTTTTACTTACACACTTTACGTTGTACATTACATCGTCATTTTTGTTCTAACAAGTCAAATGAGGACAACTGTGCTGTTTAGCAACTTGGAGGCGGTGTGTACTCCACAGTAATTTCGTCTTAGTAAGTTGAACTGTTACAGATGCACCAGTTTTGGGGCGACTTTGCGTTTACGTTTTTCGTCGCGACGCTTGTAACTTTAGCGTTTGAGCTACCCATGATCGAAATTGAAAAGATCATATTTGCAAAGAAGAAAAATGTATGATGGTGGGTCAAAGCGGCCTTAATTTTGTTTTTAGTTGAGTCTGGAGGACAGTAAAAATACGGAAGCCGATCCTAGTATAATCTTAATAAGGTAGCAAATATAATTTCCCAGTACTGGGAAGAGGCTAAGATTAGTGTGTGACTATTATAGAAACTATTTAGTGAACATTTACTTCAGTAGCTGCTTACTGATTAGGTAATAACTTAATAAATGGTTAAGGGAATTAGAGAATTATGTTTATCTTGCTTCATTGAATTCTAAACATACGGATGCTAAACGGGGACTTCGATGGGGAGATGATGTGTAAGTAAAATGGCAACAATTACGAAGGAACTTTCTCAAACGGTTTGTAATGTTCCTAGGGGTCTATCAAACCGACACGGAAAACGTTGATTTACCCTATACTTACCGTTGGGAATTCTGGCAAAAAACTACAAGCAACCTTTCAAGTCAAAACGAGAGACGTTTCGCGGCACTTTTGAATTTGGATATCAGTCGGCTCGATATGGATGACACAATGACTCCTACGTTATGTAATCGGTTTTTTATGTATTGGGACGTGCGACATAATCAGGAAGGAAATTAAATAAAAGACAGAATTTTTGTGCGTAAGAAATTACAAGAACAAATAAATATATTACACACACACCCTACCATGCCAGGGAAACCTTCTACGGGACTAAAACCCTGGCATAGGCCACACAAATACATGAAATAAATCCAAAATACACATAAATAAAACATCTCAAATTGTTGTATGATAAAAATCAGATAATCCGATCAAATGCAATTAAACAAGTTCATAAAAACAAAATACACAAGACATCATAAATCCAATGGAAAACATGATAAATCAATTCAGTACAAAAACACATCAAAATACCAGTACGATCAATTGAGATAACACAACTCCTAAAATAATAAATTGCATGTACATAGGAAACATGTAAATGGTGTGGCTCTACTCCAGCCTTCCGTTAACATAATTTAATTATCTTCTATCTTTTGGCGCATTCATTCAAAACTTCAAACAATAATAATAATAATAATAATAATAATAAAACCCCTGTGGGTTCGGGGATAGAATAGGCCCACTCTCGCCCTAGAGATCGTAAAAGGCGATCAATGGGCACTAAAGGTGACCAGTCCAACCACCTTTAGTACTTACCTACCCACTTTACTTTCCAACTCCCACGTCCATGTTCCCTACTTTCCTACATTATACACAACACGCAGGTGGATATTTGCTTACGCGAATATCTTGAAGAGTGACGCCTTCACGTGTTCCTAGTCACCCCATATTCTTATGAAAATGGAGTTTAAACAAAGCCTCGGAAAAATGCCGCTACCTGAGGAGCGTCAGGGCACGTCTGGAGCTATCGCTGGGCGTTGCAGCATGCGAGCCGATAGTGACGAGTTGGTGAACAGGCGGCCGCTCGTCGGGATACCCGAAACCTCTACAGCCGAAAGAAGACTACGAAGAGGACAACGACCACCTGAAGAGGACCGCCATGAAGAGACCTTTGTGCCTGCTTCTCAACCGCTTGTGGATGGGACCAGCGCAAAGGATACCTCCAAAAGACGTATGAAATGGGACGAAGGGATGAATCGCTTCATTTTCGGTACGTATCTGGAGATCACGAAGATGGAAACGGACAGGACAGCATACAGAGGTAAACTATATCACGCGTTCATTACACAATACCCACATTTAGCACACTTGACAGAACAACGCATTGCAGACCAACGTAGAGTTATCATTAAAAATACACTCCTTACATTAGACACACAGGAACAAATCAGGCACGAAATTGAAGCACTACTCAACACAAACAACACACTCATCGTACAAGATAATACACCCGTTCTAAACAACACTGAAATTACAGGAATTATTATAATGATTTTTTTTTTGTTTTGTTTTCCTCTTTCCTGATAGCGTTGGCTATTGTGCCCATCAATAGGTATGTTGGTAAGTACGAATTACATTATCCCTAGATGTCCAATGTACGTGTGTGATTTTTTTTATTTTTTTTTTTTTTATTTTATTTTTTTTTAAGGACCCTAAATAACTTCACCAGACACAGACACAGACACTAATCGTTACTTGATTTTAATCCGTGCGATTAGTTAACCAGGCTAGACCTGAGTTCTCACAAGAAACACCGACCATAATAATACTGTAATACTGTAATGTCTCCACCAATAACCCAAGCAACAACACAGATACAACCTCAAGAACAAAGAAACACCATAAATACAAGTAACGCAACATGCACTACAAAGACAGGTCCACCCAATAAAGTTACACGCCCTAGCACAGTTAAAAAACACATAACTCCTTCTTCACAGAAACACACCACGTTATCACAACCCACTCGTACTCAACCCAAACGCAAAAACCTAAACAGCACTACTAGCTCACAAAATACAGTAATACCTCCACCAATAACCCAAGCAATAACACAAATACAACCTCAAGGACAAAGAAACACCATAAATACAAGTAAGGCAACATGTACCACAAAGACAGGTCCACCCAATAAAGTTACACGTCCTAGCACAGTTAAAAAACACAAAACTCCATCCTCACCGAAGAACACCACGTTATCACAACCCACTCGTATTCAACCCAAACGCAAAGCCAAAGAAACACTTACACAATAAACTCCATTTAATAAAATTACAGGAATTATTATAATGATTTTTGTTTTGTTTTGTTTTCCTCTTTCCTGATAGCGTTGGCTATTGTGCCCATCCATGTTGGTAAGTATTTTTATTTATTTATTTTTTTTAGGACCCTACATAACTTCACCAGACACAGACACAGACACTAATCGTTACTTGATTTTAATCCGTGCGATTAGTTAACCAGGCTAGACCTGAGTTCTCACAAGAAACACCGACCATAATAATAATAATCATCTTTATTTAGGATAAGGAAAAGCCACAAGGGCCATTTATCCCTCCTCTACAAGCTTAATCATATAAATGTAGTTAAAGTTCATTAAATATAGTAAGTACATAAGAATATAGATAAGTAGATAACATCAAAGAGAAAGAGTATATATACATTGATTGCAGTGGTATGAGTTAAATTTAGCCTACAGCGTTCATCAGGAAGTTGTGGCATTGCTGAATGAAAAGTTTTCTGGCAGTGATGTCACGAATGCTCGGCGGTAAGGTATTCCATAGGCTTGCGGCTAGCACTTGAAATGAAGTAGAGCCTATCTGAGTGTTCGTTTTAGGTAGAAACAAGTCACTGGTACGTGTGTTATACGAGTGAAAACTTTGTAGGGATTTGAACAAGTCACGTAGGTATAATGGTGCACTGTTTGTTTTGATTACTTTATGCAACAGACAAAGTGTGTTATGTACACGGGTTTTCTTCATGTCTAGCATATTTAGACTGCGTAGCATAGGTTGTATGCGATCAAACTTATGTAAGCCACATGCATAACGTAAGCAATAGTTTTGGACCTTTTGTAATTTGTAAGATAGCTTCCCGTTAAGACCATGGTAACATACATCTCCATAGGTGATTAGTGGTAAAACTAATTGTTTAACTAGATTGAGTTTAATATTTTGGCTTAAAAGATTTTTAGATCTGTATAGCGTTTTTAACTTGTAATACGATTTGGTGCATACATAGTTGGCGTGCACTTCCCAGTTCAGATTTTGATCAATATGCAGTCCCAAGATTTTGGCGGATGTGGCAAACTCTATACAGTTTCCGTCGACTTCTACTTTTTGAGATGTTGACATGTGAAATTTATGTAAATTTGTCGTGGTGCCAACGGCCATAACAACAGTTTTGTTGGAGTTGAGATGTAAGTTGTTCACGGCTGCCCACTTAGAAATTGTGTGTAGATCTTCATTTAGATTACTCATATGCGTATTTGAGTTGCTACTGTTGATCGTCATTAGCAACTGGATGTCGTCTGCGTATTGATGTATATCAACATATTTTAGGAAATAGTTGAGGTCCGAGACATACACGTTAAACAGTAATGGTCCAAGGATGCTTCCTTGTGGAACACCTCCTTCAACAGGTAATGAAGCAGATACGGAAATCCCTTTTGCCGTAGAGATTTTAGTCCTTTGCGATCTATCGGATAGATAATTTTTGAACCAGTTTATAGAGTGTTTAGAAAGACCTAATGTCTCCAGCTTATGGGTTAGTCTAGAATGACTGACAGTGTCAAAAGCCTTCGAAAAGTCTAATCCACACATTACAGTAACATTGCCGTTATCATACTCTCCTTTTATTGAATGTAGTAAACACAATAGAGCAGTAACAGTGATGTGGTGCTTACGAAAACCTGACTGTTTTAGGTAGTAGAGATGGTTTCTTTCTAAATAAATATCGATTTGTTGGTGTACGATTCTTTCCAGTATTTTGGACATTGCTGGAAGGATGCTTATGGGCCGATACTGTTCCACATTTTGAGCATTTTTGATTTTCGGGATAGGTGTGATTATTGCGGTTTTCCATAGTGCTGGGACAATACTGCTGTATAATGAATAATTAATTATGTCAGTCAGCGCATCTAAACAAAATGGCAAACACAACTTCAGCTCAGTAATGGACAAATTATCACATCCCTTGGCTGAGCTCTTGATTGATTGCACTGCGGATAATACTTCAGACCTATCCACACATTTCAAATTGAATACATGTGACTCAGGATTTCGACATTTGGCCTCCACAGTAAAATTAGGTTGTAGCCCGGTATATCTACAGTCTTGGTGAAAGTATTTATTAAACACGTTAGGGTCCTTTAATACGCTGAAAAAATTTTTGTTGTGTTTGCTATCGATAATTTCCATGTTACGTAGTCCATTCCAAAGGCTGCGTGGGGTGATATTGTTTGTGTTAACAAATCTATTGATGGCCTCCATTTTACGAGTTTTAATTGCATGCTTTGTGTCAGTAAGTAGGCGTTTGTAAAATACCCAGTTGGTGTAATTCCTTTGAGATCGATATCTTAGCCAGGCATTGTTTTTCTGACGTATCATTTTTAAAAGCTCTCCAGACAACCATGGCTTATATTTTTTGCTCGTTTTGATAGCTTTTATCGGTGCATATTCATTGAGGAGTTGATTGATAAGCACATATAAGTGGTGTAGTTTTTCATCAATTGTGTGACAGCTGTTTACGCCATTCCAATCCAGTGAAGACGCAGTTTGACAAAATTCAGCGTAGTTTATATTCCTGAGATCTCTAACATGGACGCTGGTTTCGTTGGTGGTAGTTGTGACTGAATTATTCATAATGTATTCAAAAGAAATAACATTGTGGTCAGAAGTTCCAATAGGACAAGTTTGTTTGATATTAATAATTCGCTCGGGATGGATTGTAAACAGGAGGTCGATGAGTGTACTCGAGCTGGGAGTAATTCTTGTAGGATCTTTAACCATCTGAACAAAACCTAGTTCGTTGAACATTTCTTCAAAAACATGAGGTACACGTGGACCAAGCATATTAATATTAAAGTCGCCAACACAGATTAGATTGTTATATTTAAAGTATAAGTTCTTAATAGTATCATTTAGAGCAGACAGGTCACTAATGTTACTACTTGGGCTTCGATAGGCGACCCCAATGGCAAAAATCTCACGTCCGTGTTCGACTTCCAACCATAATTGTTCGATTCCAGTGTTAGCGGTGTGTATTACTTTTGCTTTGATATGATTTTTGACTATAACCGCCACACCACCAGCATGGGTAGGTCTATCAACTCGATGTACTTGATGGGTGTCAAATACTATATGGGGATAGGTACATTTGGGATCTAACCAGGTTTCTGATAAGAACATGAAGTCGAAATCAACCACCTTCAATTTTATGTAGTCGGCATTTTTAGACAAGGATCGTATATTGGTAAAACATATTTGCATTGTGTGATTAGTGTAGCTTGTGAGGAGGGCATTTACAAGTTTTTTTGATCAACGATTTTGGGCTGGCCGCGTACATATCGAATGGTAAGGTTTGGTTCGCCATTGTTTTTCCGTGAATCTAGTTCGTTGCGCAATTTGTTCAGATAGTCGCGTTCCTTAGGCGTTTGATCGCTACTGATGGTGATTGCTTGATAGTTCGGGTTACCTTTGAGCTTGATCTTGTTTTTCAAGATAATTTTCGTTTCTTCACTGGTATTGAGTATAACCTTAATTGGTCTTGGGCGAGATGTCTTGTTAATGATACCTAGTCGAAACATAGACACTCCGGATAGGTTGCAATCAGTGCTGATTAGCTGTAAAATCTGGTTTACCCGACTACGGTCGTCTTCTCTGCGGAGATCAATACTTTCATTATTGCTTTCTGTTACCCCAAATATGATAATGTTCTTCTGGCGAGTCCAGCGTTCGTTAATTTCATTAATTATTTCTTCGGTGTTTGCCCCATTCTTTAGGCTCTCAACTTCGTTTTCTAGAGCAATGATTCTGTTTTCATTTTTGATGTTACTTGCCATTGCTTCCTCAAGTTTTTTTGTTAAATTAGCAACGGTGTTTTTTATGTCGATATGCATGTCTATTAGGAAATCGAGCTTCTCATCAATCGTCTTAGCACGCATCTGTTGCTTGCTGCCCGTTGCGGCATTCTTATCAATTTCTCCTGGATCACAAGCATTACATAACCACGTAGTGATACTTTTATCCTTTTTCATTGTTTGATATAGGTCCACAGAAGTATTTACACATTGTATGTGATAAGCGCCTTTGCAGTTACCAGTGCAGTGCAAGATATCATCGTACCTTCCTAGCTTGCTACTGCACCCTTCACAGTTTACCATTATGCGTATGTAATTTGTGTAATAGATTTTCTTTTGCGTAAATGCACAAAGTATGAAAAATTTGTAAATAAACAATTTGAAGGAGACAGTATTTTTGAAGTATGATAAAGGGTTTTATCTAATCATGCAGTTTATAGAGTAATGGTGTACTACTCACTACTTTTGTCTATAAAAGCACAGGCACTACTTGTTTTGTGTAACTATAGTCGCTAATGGATACTACCGGTTTTCTTCTATCCTGCGGTACCGAACAAAACAATTAACTCGCAATGGAAACTGTTCAATAATTTAAATTAGCGAGTCTATTACAACGCAATCGAGTAACAACCATCCGTTCCAAACGATTCTATTATAAGTCAAATTAGGAAGCATCCTCATTTTTTAAGGTGAGCTGTTCAAAATCGTCCTATACCACAGGAAGATGTTAGAAAACATTTTTCTGAATAATCACATAGAATCTACCAAGGATGATATAGAAAACAAGGGGAGCGTCTTATTTTAGAGATTACCACTAGGGAGATTGGAAGGTACGGGTGCTAGTGGTCCAACAAAAATTGACATGAAGACATGAATAAAGACTTGGTGGAAAAATGATACAGATGAAAATGAAAAAGCCCAGGCGCTTCCCACGCCTTGGGATTTTCCAATCGTACCAAAAATTTGTATTTTATAACAGGCACGAACAGTCGGAAGTACTTTAAATAGCTCACATATTCACATTGAATTTGAAAATTCACTATTCACAAGCACTACCTAAGTGTACTACTTATAAAAGCAAGACCTTAAACTTACATTTGGACGTTGCAAATCACCGCATCTTTTGAGTTTCGGTTTCTTACATTATCTACCTTTTTTATATCACGTAGGGTAAGTACATACATACTTTTCTTTAGTGTGTGTTGTAACCAATAGCTGATAAAAATGAATTATATTAGTTTTTAGATTGTAAATACTTAAGACATAAAACTTACAATACAGATTTTAACTTATTGGTTCAGTTGTTTATTATTCAAGTCAGAAAAAAAGGCGTTGATATTAAATTTTTTCCATTTGCTGTTGATAAAAGGTCAAGATAATTTTATTGTTAGTTCCTTTAATAGTAGTTCTTCATTAATATAAGACGATAAAGGGATATTTTGAAGCGAATTAACTTTCACGAAGATGGTTAGTTTTCCTTTTATCGTCGTGAGTATAATACCACAAACCTCTTATTTGCTAATTGGTGTAAGATTCTACAACGCTCTCACCAGAATGCATAAGAATTAATTCTCGATAATAAATAATTCAAAACAAAAGTTTCTACAATCTCAATCAATGACTTGTGGTATTCGTTTGGATGATTTTTTTTGCCAAATGTTGCATTTGATAAAAATTTTTTTGGTTCAAAACTTCACTCGTAAAGGTTGTAAACACTGTTTCAAACTTCTACAGTTATTTCCATATTTTTTAACTTTAATTTTATGATTATACATACTATATATTCAATATGTATACCCCATCCGTATGATTATAATTCATGTATATTTTACGCCAAATGGCACAAAAATAAATGAGTCTCAATTTAATCGTATATTGGTTGATAGCTTGGAACCGAATCAAAGACGAACGTGAATGAGAAACCTATAACTACGAGGGTTGTCCAGAAAGTAGCAGACGTTTTGAAATAAAAAATGTTAAACTTTAAAAGAAAATCTATTATTATATACATTTGGGGGCTACACTCTTGGGCTATTTATCAACACAAGCGCCATTCAAATTGAGGCACTTATCATAGCGTGGCACAAGTGTTTTGAACCGCTGCTAGAATTTTCCCGAAAATAGAGAACATGATACCTCATATTGGCAAATGGGTCTAAGATTCTACAACGCTTGACCACAACACATAAAATTAATTTCGATATACATATAAACATTTAAAAAAATGCTCGAAAAAATGTTTCGCATATCGTCATTGAAGGACGCTCAATGTATTTATTTACAGTCATTCATTAACTCCTTTTCAATTTTACCGCTTGCGTATGTAGATAATCAATCAAACACTTTCTTTACGAAGAATAAACCAGCCGTTCTCTTATTGATAAACGCATTGTTAAACCCTTCACCTAGGTATGTAGCTAATCCATATTTTTCGTCTAAGAAATTCGTACTAAGTTTTNAAACAAAAAGTTTCTCATCTCAATCAAATGACTTTGTATTCGTTGGATGAGTTTTTTGCCAATGTTGCATGTTAGATACAAATTTTTTTGGTTCAAAGTTGCTCGTTAAAGGTTGTAAATATTTCAAACTTCTACGTTATTTCCATATTTTTAACTTATTTTATATATACATACTATATATTCATATGTATACATCCGTATGATTATAATTCATGTATATTTTACGCCAAATGGCACAAAAAATAAATGACTCAATTAATCGTATATTGGTTTGATAGCTTTGACCGAATCAAAGACGAACGTGAATGAGACTATATACGAGGGTTGTCCAGAAAGTAGCAGACGTTTTGAAATAAAAAATTTTAAACTTGTAAAGAAAATCTATTATTGTATACATTTGGGGGCTACACTCTTGGGCTATTTATAAACACCAGCGCCATTCAAATTGAGGCACTTATCATAGCGTGGCACAAGTGTTTTGATTTAAACTTTTATAAATCCGCCGCCTGAGATTTTAACCTGCACTGGGTAACGCTGACATGAAGTTCGGCGTCCCTATCGAACCGCTGCTAGAATTTTCCCGAAAATAGAGAACATGATACCTCATATTGGCAAATGGGTCTAAGATTCTACAACGCTTGACCACAACACATAAAATTAATTTCGATATACATATAAACATTTAAAAAAATGCTCGAAAAAATGTTTCGCATATCGTCATTGAAGGACGCTCAATGTATTTATTTACAGTCATTCATTAACTCCTTTTCAATTTTACCGCTTGCGTATGTAGATAATCAATCAAACACTTTCTTTACGAAGAATAAACCAGCCGTTCTCTTATTGATAAACGCATTGTTAAACCCTTCACCTAGGTATGTAGCTAATCCATATTTTTCGTCTAAGAAATTCGTACTAAGTTTTATAGAGTAAATGATTTTTGTGCTGGAGGTTTCATAAACACTTATCAGTTCTAAGATGCTAACCATTTCATAATCTATGCCAGTAGCTATTTATATTCTTATTTATATATAGGATTGACAACAGTTTTTTAAAAATAATTTGATGGTTGGATCGTTATACCCGTAGGTGCGCACCTTGTAATACACTACTCCATTGGACAAATGTGGTAAAAATCATCATCGAAATTTCACTTCCAGACGGGGTACATTGGCAATAAATTAAATTTCTAGTCGCAGAGACTGGTATGTGGTTCATGCAATATGTATACTGAAAAAGTTGGGGGGCCCAATGCTCCGTCTTGGGACCCTTACTTTTTATCATTTTTTTAAATGATTTACCATTTAGTTTTGGGCCACTGGAATGATTTTGGGGGGTATATATGATGTATACTGACAACACTAACTTTGTATCATTTGTATATTACTAAATGTGCAGTGTACGTCCACAACAACATTCGCCTATTTGTTGCTAATGCCAAAGTTCATAATTACAATACAGCATACCAAATAATTTAAACGCCAAGTACCACTTAGGTACGCTTTTAAAAAAACTTTGATTGCATACTTCAGGGAATTTGTTTTTTACTCTACATGTGAATTATTTGATTCTCTAAACCAGAATTTTAATTTTAGTATGTGAACATATTGTACTGTAATATTATTTTTTGTCTAATATGTAATACTATTCTACACCTATAACGGTTAATATGAACAAAGTGCGATATGATATGATTCGCTATTGTAGAGTACTACAGAATATAATGCTATACTTCAGAATGCCATGTACCTAGGTACTATTTTAGCTATTTCATCAACCGATAATCAATGCATTTTTTAATTGCCATAATCATATTAATTACATCAATAAATACGAGTAATTTAATTAAATTAAAAACAGTTCCCAAGTTGTTTATACATCTTAAATAATTAGTAGCATACTCAATAAGAGCTCCTTGGACTCACAAGTCCATACAAATTCACTTGAGAATATTTTCCAAAACGTAAGAAACCATCAAACCCTATTCAATAGTTCTCACTCAGTCAGTAAACTAAGCGTACGTGCTCACAAATTGTTTAACTCACTAGTTTGTTTTTTAAATTTCAAGTGACAACAATGGCGAATTCGGTCAGCGAGGAAATGCAAAGAATAAAAAATATAATCAGTAGAATGAGAACGGAAACTGACATTAAGGTTAACGAAGAGCTCATAGATTCGGTTACAAAACCTGGCGAAAATTGGGTTGGAGAAATTTACAGTGTTAAGGCAAGTCGGTATCAATCCTCGGAAAATCTTTTTTTAGTAATAAAAATTGCCCCCTATGATTTAACGTACAGGAAAATGTTTAATGCTGCCTCCTTGTTCCAACGTGAGATATACTACTATGACAAGATAATACCGGAATGCATAGCAATACAGCGAGAAAGACGCATAGCAAAGATCTTTCATCCGTTCCCAAGGCACTACTTCTCGTCAAAGAAAGATCTGGAGGAGGCTATAGTGATGGATGATATGAGACAGAAGAGCTTCATTGTCGGGAATCACCGCCAGATAGTGGATTACGAAACCGCTCTTTTGGTTATGAAGACCTTAGGAAAGTTTAATGCATTGTCGTTTGCAATTAAAGAACACAATCCGGACGTGTTTGAGGAAATAAGGTTAAATTGTGAAGACAACTTCTTGACAAGTCCGCCATTGTAAGACATGTTGAAGAGTGTTTGCTCAAGTTTGTCAACTCAAATTATTTCCACCTGTGGTTACGGAAATGAACAAATTGTAGAATCACTAACAAAATTTACTGAAAATCTTCCATCAACGTTTCCAAGACTACTATAATTACACCCGGAGCACGTCGACCATGGTGTTGTTACCCATGGCGATCCACAGATAAGGAACTTCCTGTTTAAATACAATGTAACATAACCATTTTTATTTAGCTTCACTAATTGTTCAAATTTTAGACCGCATCTACCATTCCAAAAGAATGTTGCATGATTGATATGCAAATCGGACGGATCGGATCGCCAGCATTAGACATCCTGTTTTTTATGTTTGTCACCACGGATAAAGGTCTTAGAAGATCTCACTACAAACACTTGATTGAAGAATACTACAGTAGCCTGTCTACATTTTTGCGAGAGCTGGGATGCGAACCCGACACTTTGTTACCTTTCGGCGTTCTTCAGAGTCACTTACGTATGTTTGCCCCCATTGGGTTAATGTTAGCGATATGGATAGTTGGCCTAAATTTTAAAAATCCCGAAGACGCTCCCCAAAAGGACAACCTCACTGAAGAGTCATTAACGAATAATTTTTCTACGGTTAATGACGAACGGCATTTCACAAGGATTAAAGACTTGGTTGTTGATATGCTTGACTACGGATACGAATTCTGTTAAGCGCAAGATAAAAGTAGTTTAACGTTGTATAGTGAATCATGTTTTTTAGCGCATTTTTGAAAAAAATACGCTAAGGGGAATTGTGCCTAAAATGACATACCAAAATTGAGATGTCGGAAAAATTTTTTTTATTCAGAGTTTAACGTGACAAACCAATACAAGTAACTTAAACAGGCATATATGAAACTTTTATGAGCAATACTTTGAAGAAAAAACACATAGTTAAGGGAAAAAAAAATACAAGTTAAAGTTCTACACTATGTCATTTTATCAACAAGTGCTTTGTTAAAATGACATACCTAAATTAGTAGCTATGTTAATGGCATAATTCACAAGTAAACATTTTTATTTTAAAAGATACTCCTGCACACTCAGTGTGGCTCCATTTTGAACAAGTTTGACATCGAATCCATTTATCCTTGGGCTTTGATAACGAATACAGCTCGTTGCAATAGATGCATGCTGCATCATCATCTTCATCGACAGACGGGTTAAAATATAAACCATTTCCATCATCATCACTGGTCTCCTCCAGCACAGAATCTTCAATTTTCTGGCTTTTGACCGTTTTGCTGCTTATCACAATTTTTCTTTTTGTTCCTGCCATTCTTTGTGATTTTCGAAATTCTCTAGCATCTTTTTCAATTTTCTTCCTTTTAGCTTCTTCTAAATAGGGTGTTGAAGTAAGTTCCTCTGCGGATTGTGTTTTTCTCTTGTTCTTGTTATACTGCAATGAAGCATTTACTGGTACAGGAGATATGTCTTCCAAACGAACAAGACATTCTGTGATATTTGGACCAATAGATTTATTAGGAGGGTTGTCGAGAATTTCATGTTCCACGGATTTTGAAGTAGTGGGTTCAGAGATTGTTGAAGCACAGCCAGCTGTTTTATCGAATCCAGTTGTAATCGTGGACGTACTAGGTATACAAACTGGGCCATCTTGAAGCCGTTCACCTGTAACTTCACTAGGAGCGAACATATCATCAGAAAATATATCAGGATTCCACGGTGAAATACCAGAATTTTTAAAACCATTAATGGCATTTGAAATAGTTGCGGCTTTTCCGTATGCTACTGAAAATAGTTTCGCAATCTGAAACGTTGTTACAACTCTCCCTGGATTGTTTTTTAGCCATTTTGATACTTCTTGGTTATAATATGTGCTTAATGGTCCAAAGAAGCAAATATCCAGCGGCTGAATTCGATGTGTGCAGTGGGGGGGTAGGCATAACAGAATCACGCCATTGGACTTAGCATACTCTAGAGAGGCCACATGCTTGTGACTGGCGTGACCATCTAGAATTAACAAAACTTTGTTTTCCGGCGAAGCATGTGAATGCTTTACAAAGTGCTTTATCCACTTTTCAAACAGCTCTCCCACCATCCAGCCTGATTCATGAATAAGTGGTAAAGATCCTGGGGGTGCCTCGTCAAATAATTCTGCTTTAAACTGTTTTCGGGCAAAAATGATTGCTGGAGGAATGAATGTGCCACTTGCACTCATACAGCAAACTACAGTTGTGTGGCTTCCTCTTTCAGCGCTTGTAAGCTGGCCAACCTGCTTTTTACCCCTTGTGGCGAAAATTTTCTGAGGTTTCTGAACCGATGAGAGACCGGATTCGTCCATGTTATACATGTTCATGGGTTCAATGTTATGTTGTTTTATAACATCACTTAAACATCTAAAAAACTTTCCAACTTGCTCTCTATTGAATCCAAAGGCTCGGGCGGCAGAAGTTGCTTCCGGAATTCTTAAGCTAACTTCAGGATTTCGTAATCGGAAACCTTTAAGCCAGTCCCACCCAGCCATTTTCGATTTTTTAGAAAATCGGTTTGGAATTTTATTAATGTGTGCATATTCATACACAATGCGTCTCAATTCAACAGTGGTTATGCCAAAAAACAAATTTTCCATTTTTTTGACGTATGCCACTATGTCCTTTTCCAAATTAACCGGAAAGGTTTGCTGAAATCGACCTAATCCCTTCTGAACGCCATGAACTTGTTTGTTTCGATTTTGAGCTCGACGTCGAAGGGTTGCTTGAGGCACATTAAATTGTTTGGAAGCTGCAAGCCAACCCATCTGTCCATTGGTCACAGCTTGTACTGCATTCTGCATTGACTGCACATCCCATGATTGTCGCTGTGTTGTTCTTTGGTATTTTCCAACCATCCTCTAAGTAACAATCGAATTTTTAAGTGCATAATATTTAACAGACGAAAAGAGATACGTCAGTCTAAAATGACATACCTATGTCATTTTAGCAACACGGGACTATGTCATTTTACCCTGAAAGTAACCTCCAATAAACAAAGCCTCGCATTTTTTTTAGTGTGCGTGTGCAGCTATACTTTGATTTACCAATACGAAGCACAGTAGTATACGAATACGCTACAAAAAGGTTTAATGAAATAAAACTACCTGCCTTTAGATTTTCCTTCTAGAAGTTCACCATCAACATTACACAAAAGTACCGGGAAACACATTTACCAACTGACAGACCGTAAATATGGTATCTAACTTCACATATTGCAGAATATGACAGGTATGTAACAAATCATGGTATAGATGGCGCCAGATACATAAAAGAACAAATATTTTTTGTTTTCCTGTGGTGTGTCATTTTAGACGTATATGTCATTTTAGGCACAATTCCCCTATATTCGTTATTGCTGGCAGGCCGGCTGTCCGCGTTAGATCTCCACAACTACAATAGCTAGAGAATTCAAATTTTCACTAAAAGCTTTCTGCTATAGTGTAGATGTGCAGGCACTAGTCTATTTTGAGTTAGATTACTTGTAAGATCGATAATTGAAGAAAATAATTTCGATATGGGTTTCGGAGGTACTATAATTTTACCGTTAGATAGCGTTACCAGTATAAAAACTTATTATTTACTTTGCGATTTGTTTTACAAAATGAAGACGTACCGTCAATTGAAATTAAATAAAATTAATTATTTAACGCAGCCAAAATTACTCGTGAGATCAATAATTTTAAACTTCGCTAATAAAATACTGACCTGTATTACCAAAAATGCGCTTTAATCATGCATATGCTGATTTACAACTTGTTTGGGTATATACTGGTTATATGGATTTTAAGGTAACAATTAATCGGTAAATTTTGGTGCAGTAGATTTTTGGAAAAAAGGAAGGTTATACACTGCCTTTTTTTTGCCCCGAAAAAAAAAATTGTCTCAGATCGTCCGGGGAAAATTTTTCTTATAGAACGTGGCCTGTAGAATCCATAATTTCAAACAGTTCCAAGATTGGGCTACTAGTTGAAAAGTTACAGCCCTTTGAATTTTCTTTCGAAATTGGTTTCTAGTCTATAACTTTTGATTGAGAAGTCTGATCGAAAAAGTACGAATTGTTTTGGATTCTACGCACCAAAATTAATAAGGAAAAGTGTTTTCCCGAGAAATTTTGAAGCAGTCGATTTTTGGTAAAAAAGGAAGGGTTTACACTGCCTTTTTTTGAGGCCAGAAAAAAAAATTGTCTCACATCCACCCGGAAAAAAAATGTTCTTATAGAATGTGGCCTGTAGAATCCATAATTTCAAACAGTTCCAAGATTGGGCTACTAGTTCAAAAGTTACAGCCCTTTGAATTTTCTTTCGAAATTGGTTTCTAGCCCATAACTTTTGATTGAGAAGTCCGATCGAAAAAGTACGAATTGTTTTGGATTCTACGCACCAAAATTAATAAGAAAAAGTGTTTTCCCGAGAAATTTCCGTGTGGACTTTTGGTCCTTCGTCGCGGTTTTCTTTCTCATAGAGGAAAAATGACATTTTAGTCCCTTAAATGAAAGACAAAACAGGTTTATTTAATCCAGGGAGTACAAAATTCGCTTTTGAAGGGCGTCTAACTTTATGCAATCAAAGTAACTTCTTAAAACAAATAAAGATCTACTTGTCTTAGGCCGGTATTGGATTATAAAAGATATTTGACAAAGATCTTTTATAAAATATATTTTATGTACGACTGCTTGATAATGCGGCGATTACAGTCGCAATTAGTGGCCATAATTTGCAATATATTATGGCCTAGTCTATAATGATAAAGTAAAACGACGGCCTGTCAATGTGACACTCGTACTTAGGTGTCAATCCAAGGTAAATTCAAGTATTTTAGAAATACTTGACAAATGCTTGACATCTGTTGTCAATTATATATAGATTTTATCGTTTATTGAATTCCATGAAATCTCATTAAGGGTTGTTGCAGTCGTATACAAAGCTTTGTATATATCACGTCCATAAATAGGCTTCATGGGGACTCGCCTTGTTTATTTGTGCCTCGCTCGCAAGTTCGCTCGGCAAAATAAACGGCCCGTCCATAAAGACCCAGTTTATGTACTTGATATATAAATGGAAGTAATAACAGACGATAACATTTAATAAAATATTTGTCAATCTTTTATTAAACATATTTGATAAAATCTTTGATAGTGCAATACCGGCCATATATATTAATTAATTCGAATATAACCTAATTCATTAAAAAAAATGAGGGACCTTTTCCCAATTAAGCTTCGTTGCGACTTACACATGCAAATAGATTTCTATTTGAAATAGTTTATACATAACCGTAATGATTTACGGCCTTTTTAAGTGACAACAACTGTAAAAATAAATTTACAATACCTCTAGTCCGGGTAATTTAACATCGTAGAGATTCCAGAGATTCCTATTTCCTGTATGATGAATACTGTCACCCTAGGGCTAGGTCAGCGTTCTTTGTAGTTGCAGCATACGCAAACACGGTTGACAATGGAGGAAAACACGGCTCGTTTTAGATTAAATCGGATCGTTCATACATACACTAATCATCATGTTCACCAGGTCAAAGGTTAAGGTGAATATTGTATTGTATTATAAATTACTGTAGTTTAGACGATGGTTATTTTTTGTTAAATAGCAGCATTGCAATTTGTTTATTTTTATTATAAAATTGCTTTGAGCAAATATTATAAGGGGTTGTAAAAATTATTAA